GCTCAAGTATAGCAGGGATTGTGGGGCTGGCGCGGGATCGGGCAGTGTTTCGTTCTGCTGTGCATGAGGTCGCTATGAGTCGGAAACAACTCGACAGCACTTAACAACAACAACAACATACAATGCATGCATTAAATCTGAAAACTGCAAACTATAGCATGTAGGGTTACTGCTTGCTTTTGTAAATAAAGATGTAATGGAAATGGCCCAGTATTGCCTCCATGTCTACAGTATTCACTATCTGGCTATCTGTTTCATAGAAAACATCTTCTTAAATCTGCTATAGGGCATTAGGGCTTAATTATCTCCTGGAACCTTAGTTGAGAAAAGCTTTGTCCAGATTCATTCTTTCATTACTTAATGTTTCATTATTCCTGGTGTGTTTATTAAATAGAACTATTATTTTTGTCATTGATTATTTGATATCTTGAAGTACAGTCTGTAAGAAAAAAGTTCAGTACTTTTTTCCCTCTATTTCACTAGTTTTCAGAATAACAAGTTGTTGTTCTATTAACCTCCTAAGACGACCAGTGATTTGTTCAGGTATTACTATAAAGTCATGAGTTATTAACTAATTTTTGTTTCAGAACCTATTTCCCCACCCCCCCTTTTAAATGCTACAATGTCCCATCATTGGCCAGCGAGAGATCTTTCAGGTTGGCTTCCACATTTTTTTTTTTTTTGATAGAACTTCCATAAATCTTTCATGCTTTCTGTTAAAAGACAGTCTAAAACCAAACAAAAGAAAATAAAAAATAAAACCTTCTGCCATCGAATCAATTCCAACCCATAACAATCCCCACTGGGTCTCCAAGGTTGTACATTATGCAGGCAGACTGCCTCATCTTTCTTCCATGAAACAACTGATGGGCTCAAAACCCCAATCTTCTGGTTAGCTGACACACACCTTAACCACTACACTGCCAAAGATCCTTATAAGATAGTGTAGGATTCACTTTTTTGTCCTGCTCCAGTACTGAAATCAACTATTTCTCCAGAGTCTTAGTTTCTTTTGGTGGTGAATCATATAAAGACACCATTATCAGAATACTATACGAATGCTCACTGTTACACATTTTTTTTTTTTTAAAGTATTCATATTAGTATTTGTATAATGACAGTGAATCTAGACACTTGGCAGAATTTTTACCATTTTATAGTAGTTTCTTAGGAGATTCTATACATCCTTCAAATTACGTATATTCATTGTACAGAATAAAGATGGCATAGAACTGGGCACTGTTTTGTTCCGTTTTATATAAGGTCATCACGAGTTGGAGCTGACTAAAAATAAAAAGTAGCAAAAATAGGGAATACAACTCTACAATAACATATGGAATAGAAGCAATGACAGAGAAAATTCTTAATTTTCCTCCTTAGTTGAAAGGGCATACTTCTAATGTTTCTCCATTAAATAGAATGTTTCAGGAAGTTTTACCTCAGTGATATTGTCCAGTCTTAGGTTACTACAGTAAAAGCTGCAAAAGCCGGAACCTACGTAAGGCAGAAACCTGTCAAAGAAAGAAAACTCAAATATTTTCTACTAATAGAGAGTGATAGAAAAGTGGTAAGACTACATCCTGTCAAAGGCTGAAAACCTGCAAGGCCGGGAAAAACAAGACAATCCAGAATGTTCTGGCTCCCATAGGTTTCACTTTATTTTCCACTACAACAAGAGCAAGAAAAGTGGTAAGATTGTACCCAGACAAAGGTGAAAAATTTACATCCCCTAAACAAGGCAGCCCTGTTAACACTCCAGATCTCACAGGTTACACTGTGTTACATTGTATTATCCAATACTGTTTCTGTATTCTCCCATATCTGTCATTATTGTACTATATACAGTTAATTCTTGAATAGATTTACGTACATGTTTACCAGTTTCTTTGTACATCCTGTCTTCTAATATATCACTCCTACCTTGTTGGTTCATTGTATTCTTCCAGAAGTCTCTACGTGGTACAAATGGTTTGTTCCAGGTTATAAACCTATGGTTTGATGGTTAAAACCCACCCAGCAGTACCACAAAAGAAAAAGCCTATCAATCTGCTTCCATTAAGATTACAGTCAAGAAAATCTTTATGGAGTAGTTCTACTTTTAATATATGGGGTCACCATGAATCAGATAGCAACTACCAACAACAACAACAAAACTACTACTGCAGCATGCTGAATAATGGTCCTAAAGTCAACAACCGATAAACATTAACTTATTTAGAAAAAGCGTTGCAGTAGATGATTACATTAAGAATCTTGAATGGGAGATTATCCTGGACTGTGTGGGTGGGCTCTAACTGCAATTACAAGTGTCCTTGAAAGAGAAAGGTAGAAGGAGATGTGACACACAAAGATGATATGAAGACAGAGCGTAAAGCAATCTGAAGATGCTGGCCTTGAAGACTGGAGCAATGCAGCAAAGAATGGAAAGAATACTTATTTTGAATTTATGGCCTCCTAACCTCTAAGAAATAAATTTCTGTTGTTTTAAACTGAGTCTGTGGTAATTTTTTGTACTACCGCCAAGAAACTAATAAAACTACCCATTAGCTCTGGTAGCATAGTGGCTAAGGCACTTGACTGCTAACCAGAAGGCTGGCGGTTGAAACCCACCAGCCACTCCTCGGAAGGAAGGTTGGGCAATCCTACTTCCGTAGTGATACTGCCTCGGAAACCCAAGGAGGGGTCGCTATGAGTCAGGGCTGACTTGACGGCACAAAACAACAACAACATTAAAAGTTTACTCATTAAGGATTTTAAATGGTAAATTCTCTTAACATTTGGATAAAAATATCTGTGCTTCACTATCACATTTGAATGATTGCGGGCTATAGAACTCTATGTTGACAGATATTTTCTCTCAGCACTTTTAAGATACAATCCTATTTTCTTCTAAATCCTATTGTTGCTCTTGAGAAAATGGCTATTACTGTGATACTGGATTAAAAAAGTCAAACTCATATTTATGCTGCTTCACTTAAAAACTATATAGTCTCAATAAATTTATATAAAAAAGATAAACCTAGGTCAACATTTAACCAAGCCAAATGATCTCTATCACATGATTTATAAGGTTCTGCTTACAAATACAACTGCTATCCAAGAATACATCCTTCCCTTTGTAGCATTATAAATGAAAGAATAACCTCATTACACCAAGACCAACACTTGAACTTGGATCTAAGACACCTACTTCACCTGAGTAATATTAATGTTAGTATTCTAGATTTGTACAGAGTCATACGAACAACAAAAAAACTCATAAGACATTTCTTAAGCATTCTTATTTGCATTCAAATATTTCTATGAGATTAGCTGGCTTCAAAGTGGTAGGCAGCAGAGATCAGAGGAACAAGCAAAGGACTGTATGGCACAGCAAGGACAAAAATAAGCCTTTTAGCAGGAGTGCTGGATACAGAGAGATAATCATGCCATGAAACAATTCATAAGAGCTTTAAATAGGCATCGCCAGAAACAGATTAGATAAACAATAGGACGTAGCATGATTCAACTCTGGCTGCAGGAGGGCCATACATACATCACTCTGGACTACAGAAGAAGCACACCTACCTTCCACAGCCTTGACCTTTTCTTCTAACTCCCGCTTCCTCTCTTCCTTTAGCATCTGTTCCTGCTCCTTCTTCTGCACTGCTAGAAGTATTTGACGTTCTTCTTCCTCCTCTTTGAGCTTTTGTTTTTCTATTCTGGTAAGCACAGGAGTTTCCTGTCAGAAGTCAGTATAATATGACAAAAAAAGAAAAGGCAAATTTTAGAATGTTTTACTTGGAGGAATATAAAAATATGCTTTAAAAATCTAAGTGATGATCCTAGGTAGCTACATCAGTATCATCTGGCATGCTTATAAAATTCAGATTCCTGCCACTGTACCACTACCTCCATCAGAGTCTTTAGTGGTGTTGTCTGATAATCTGTAGTTGTAAAAGCTCTTCAAGTGATTCTTATGCATACTAAAATTTAAGGTAAGAATAACAGCAAAGCAATTTTTGCAGTAAACTTAGAGTTGTGCATAGTATATAAGAAAAAAGGTTGTAATACTGTTAGTAGACAGACATTTTTCTCATGCAGAGATGGTAAGGCCTACCTTCTCCTGAAAAGAGAAAATAAAATTAGACACAAGTATTCACCAAGATAAACTGAGATTTATTCTAACTTTAACCACACTGTATGCTAAAATAAGTGAATGTAAAGTATTATAAAACAGGAGCAATAAATAACTAGCTCTACAATGTATTTACACATAATTCAGTATATTAGAAGATTTCTCAACAGGCCTTCATTTAATAGACAAGTTAGAGTAAATGATTCACTTAAGGCTATACAGATTTATCTGTTATTTATCAACAGAGTTATATGTTCATCAACAGTTATAACATGTTACAGACCTGTTTGTTCTCCTTGTAATTAGTATTGTAATTGCATAGTTACTAGTTTTTAAACCAATAAAGTTAAAGCATAAAAAAAAATCTTGACTAAAATCATTGAAGAGGAGTTGCTTTCAAAAAGTTTACTGTCAGATGAGGGTAAAACAACTATGGAAGATTGGGTGGGTGGGGAACACATTAAAATCTTCTGGGTTCTGTGAACATTTACACTAGGTAGATATACTCCCTGGAGAGAACAATCATGGGAGAACAGAAGGGCTGTGTATGTACAGGGAGACAGACATTTCAGGGGGCAGGAGTACATGGAGTGAAAGACACAGGGAAGAGGTAACTGTGGGGAAGAAGTGGGAAGGGAGCTGTTGCATTGTAGTAAACTGTAGTCAATGTCATGAGACAAAGTATATGTGAACTGCTGTGTGGAAAGTGAATTTGCTCTGTAAACTTATACCCAAAACACAAAAAAATTAAAAAAAAAAAAAAAACCTTCTGGGTTCTGGTTTTTTTTTTTTTTCTTTTTTTTTTCTTTTACAAATATCCTGAAGATCTCACTTCATTTAAAACAACAACAACAAAAAAAAAAAAAACCACCAAGAAACAAACTAGTAGACCACACAAAGATTTAAGTGGGTAGTTTAAGTGAAAGTATCACAGGAACCCCCATAAATGAAACCACATTCAAAAGAAAGGTCATGGTCCTATACCACAGATTGGTAAATAGTATTACATTTAATACATTAAATTAAAACACGTTTGAGAAAACTGAAGTGGCATAAAAGCTATTACTATAGGAAATTTCACAGAAGCAGTTTCTAGAACTTTCTAAAGGTTAGAAACTATTTTGAAGGCCAATATTTAAAAGTACATGTAAGTTCTGGAACTTATGTGGATTGTGGCCCACAAGGTAACCAGTGTAATCTACTATTAAGAATTAGTAAGCAAGAAGGTCCTTGTAGTTAGAACGATGCTTAACGTACATGGTTTCTGTGTCAGAATCGGTATTATTTGGGTTTGGTTTTGACATTACTTAATTCAAAATCTTGAGACTTCTTGAAAAATCAATGAGGTAAGAAGTCAAAGATTTCCATCAACTACAATAAAGGGTGGTTCATACATCTTAGAGATACCTCAAAGCAGTAGTAGTAGGTTTAATGAGAAAGTAGCTTTAGAATGTTTTTCTGTAAGCACAATACAGAATGATTAGGTCCAAGTACAAATGAAATCCCAGTCATCAAAAGGTATCATGACACTGTAAGTAGTTTTTCTCTAAAATTACCCTAACAGTTTCTTCAGAGATTTCTATAAGAATCTCCTTTGTAAGCTTTACAATCCCAACAAGATCTCTTCAACTTCAAATGAACATAAAAATTTACCAAGGATCTGTTTTCCAAAGGGATTGTGCCAGTTTACAATGCAGTTAGCAAGAGGTCAACACAGTTTTACACCAACTTTGCCAAATCAGATAAAAGCTATTACTGATAATCAGTTGTCATATAACACTTTTACTATTTCAGTTTTTCATTCAATTTACATTTTATCATAAAAGTAAAACTGTCAAAGCAGCCCTTACCTTTGGATTCTTTTATTATGTCAAAGTTCATAGGGATATCATACTTATAAAGATTTACCAAGTCTGCTTAAAATCTCTTTTGAGTTACATTTACTTTGTTAAAAAATATGGACTTACTTTTCTACCCAGATTTCTCATCAATCATCTGTCAGTTACTTTGATTTCCAGCCTAGAAGTTGTTCTCTGCTTACTACTGCCACTGATTTGCCTTTTAAAGCCATTCGCTTCAGCTCAAGTGATAACACATGACTATCCCTTAATAATTTGAACCAAAATTTTTACTTAAATAAACTGTTCAAGAATTTTTTTTTCCCTTTTCCAAAGAAGACACTTAGTTGTCGGCTATTAAGTTCCTTTTTCTTTATTAAAAAAAAAAACAGAGAGAAAACTGGCTTGGCACCTTGCAGAGTATAATAGTCATTCTCACTGACTGTCCTAAGGATTCCTTTGGCCTTCATCTTAGGGAAAGCTACCACCTGTATTCCTTATGGGCATCTTCTGATCAATCTTCAAATGATAGTAGCAGCAGTAGCTGAGAACCCCCTAATCTATCTTTTCCTCACTTTCAACCACAGGGAAAACATCCACAGCAAACAAAGGCAGAGTTACAGCCCACGTGGACGTCTGATCACTTGTCTGTAAAATCCATCAAGCAAAAGTTGAGTGTGTGAGAACAGACATAAGAAGTGTTTAGAAAGAATTGTTTAATTTTATGTACTACTTTTATCCTGCTTCATTATTTACTTCATACCATTCTTTTTAACCTCAAATCTGTATTGAACACTCTTATACAGAGATTCCTCTCTAAAAAGAAGAAATTATGAAGTCTAAATTAAACATGAAGTGTTAGGAATCTTACAATCTCTAAGGGTGAGACATGAATGTTTAATCTAATATAACTGATAATTGAAAGCTCTATAACAGATATAAGATGGAACCTGGTGACACAGTGGTTAAGTGCTCAGGTGCTTAACCAAAGGGATGATGGTTTGAACATTCTAGCTTCTCTGTGGGAGAAAGATGTGGCAATCTGCTTCTGTGAAGATTATATCCTTAATAACCAAATTGGTCAGTTTCAATATGTCCGATAGGGTTGCTGTGAGTTACAAGTGATTTGGTGGCAGTAGATTTAAAAATTTTTTTATAATTGATATGTATGTATTTTAAGTTCATGAATGAAAAGATGAAAGGAGTTACACCTGGGCAAAGAAAGGAGAATTAAGGCAAGCAGGGGTGTTTTTGACTTGAGCTGTGTAGTTTGTCTAGCATTTTAATGAGTGGACAGTGAGGATGGAGCACTTGGGTTAGAGAGGTATTCCACACTGCAGGAGTAACTTAAACAAAAGCACAAAGGCAGAGATATGTACAATGTGATCAGAGAACAGTGTATATTCAAATATGGCTGGCATATTGATTATGTTATAATATATAGTAGACTCAAACCTCTGAGTGTCTGTAGCAGCCTTAGCATGTTAACCTTTTGCACCACCCAGGGACTCCTAGTTTCACTCTAGACCACGTCACTGGTGACGTGCTTTGTGGAACCTTCTTACTGCCCAACATAATGGCTTTATGACTCTTAAAATGAAGTGACTACATGATGGTATGTTATATACTTTTTGTCATTAATCAGTATATTTCTACTTTGTGCTGTGAAAAGGGAAATATTAATTAAAAAATTTATATTTACTACAATATACTTTCCACCATTCATCTATCAGTTTGTTATACTGTTGTGGCTTGCATGTTGCTGTGATGCTGGAAGCAATGCCACCAGTATTTCAAATACTAGCAGGGTCACCCAGGGTGGACATGTTTTAACAGAACTTCCAGACTAAGACAGACTGGGAAGAAAGACCTGGTGAACAACTTGTGAAAAATTTGGCCAATGGAAACGTACGTATAGCAATGCCTTATTAAATAGTCCTGAAAGATGAGTTCCTCATGACACTTAAAATATGACTGGGGAAAAGCTATCTCTTCAAAGTAGAGTAGACTTTAATGAAGTGGATGGACCTACATTTGCTGATGTGGCATGACTCAAGCGAGAAGAAACAACTATAAACATCCATTAATAATCAGAACATGGACTATATGAAGTATGAATCTACAATAATTACAAGTTGTCAAAAAATGAAATGGAACACTTTAAGATCAACATCCTAGTCACCAATGAGCTGAAATGGTAGGAACTATTTCCAGTCAGAAAATCATATGGTCTACTATGCCAGAAGTGATAAGTAGGAATAATGTCCAAAAACAACATTTCAAGATCAATCCTGAAATTATACAACAGTGATAGGATAGCATATGGCTATGAGGAAGACCAGTTACCCAGATTTAAAAACCAACCACTAATAGCAAAGATGAAGAAATTAAGGACTTTTACCAACTTCTGCAGTCTGAAATTAAGCAAACATACAATGAAGGTGCGTTGATAATTACTTGGAAAAAATAGCCTTGGTCATAGAAACAATGCATAAGATTGCATGATTGAATTTTATAAGACCAGTGACTTCATTAATTAGAAATACCTTATTTCAACAACATAAAGGGCAATTATACAAATGGACCTCACTGGATGGAATACACAAGAATCAAATCAACTACATCTGTTGGAAGAGATATATGATTAGTTAGAGCAAAGCCAGTGGCCAGTTGCTGAACAGAACATCATTTGCTAATATGCAAGTCCAAGTTGAAGCTAAGAAAATTCAACAAGTCCATGAGAGCTATACTACAATATTGAGTATCAAAAAAAAAAAAACCCCAAAACCAAACTCATTGCCATCAAGTCAGATCTGACTCATAGGGACCCCTCCTTGGGTTTCCGAGATGGTATCACTGCAGAACTAGATTGCCCAATCTTCTTTCCGAGGAGTGGCTGGTGGGTTTGAACCACCAGCCTTCTGGTTAGCAGTCAAATGCCTTAGGCACCACACCACCAGAGCTCCAATATTAAGTATATCCCACTTGAATTTAGAGACCATCTAAAAAACAGATTCGACACACTGAACCTAATGACCAAAGGCCACATGAGTGCGGGACTGACATTATACATGAAGAAAGCAAAAGGTCATTAGAAAGACAGGGGAAAAATGCTGTAAGCAGTGACTCATCTATACCAGGAAATTTGGA